CAGGTCAGAGATGCCATCGGCGGTGGCCATACATGCACACGCACGTGCACACACCCACGCACACACACACACAGATACACACACTCGCGCGTGCACATCATACACGATCCAGCACTCACTCCTCTGTTTACTCACACACTCCTTCATTCTCCTACTGGGATCTTTACATGTGGGGTTATCCGGTCCTTTAATTTATTTATCTATTTATTTATTTATTTTTATTTATTTATTTGTTTATTTGGTTGTGCTTAGCGTTTCAGGCATTTCAGACTAAGTGCCGGCTCGGGGCTCAGGGCTCAGGTAGGATTCTTGTACCTCGCTGAGCCTCCACCTTTGTTCCTTGCGTGATGCGCCTGTGGTCATTCTTGGTAAATTTTCTCGAGGACTGAAAACCCTAAACCCTAAACCCCTAGCCCCTAAACCCCTAAACCCTCAACCCTATAGCAACCCTCCATGACCCCACATACACAGTTGGCATTCAGGTTTTACTGCGCTGAGACTCTTGCCGAAGAAGCTGTTCTGAGCGGAATTCCAAACTCAACGCTTTGAAAGTTTAGGGTTTAAGGTTTAGGGGTTAAGGATTTAGGGGTCAAGGGTTTAGGGTTTAGGGTAAGTTTAGTGTTTCGGGTTTAGAGCGCAGTTTTGAAAGGAGTGATTCAATGTTGCACTATCAAGCATCTCTGCTGTGCTTGACCGAAACGCCCTGTCCACTGCGGAATCTTCCTTCGTTGCAGTAACTTGCTCTAGAAACCGGTTGCTCGGGTTGCTGCAGGCAACATTGTAACTAAAAGCCCGATTCTACAATAGCGGGCTGGCAAAGAAGTTGCTACATTCCATCGCTGCTGCGCGCACCATTCTCACACCTTGCACACGAAGGGTCCTAAACACACAGAAACTTGGAGATCTCAACGAGGACGACCCCGAAAGTACACGAATCCCGACCTAGCTTAGCAAATGCCGGCTTGAGTTTGGAATTGCGCAAGCTCCGGAGATTCAATGTTTCCTCCAGGCTGACCGGAAACTGCTGAACATCTCTGAAGTAAAAGAGACAGAGACCTGTCGAGATGCACGTCCGGTCTTTCCGTGGATCTCCGGAGTAGGGCAGGCTTTCCAGTATGCTAGGCACTGGTCCTGGCATAAGTCTGTAAATTACGAGACTTCCGCTGCAGTCCAAGAACTGTAGAAGCAGTGTGCTGCGGGAAACATCGAAGCTCGTTCTTTGGCTTTCCAACCAATGACACTTCTCGTGAAAGTTCCTGAATCCTCTGTCACAGTCTCGTCTCCATGCGAGATCGGTGCAACCGCAGCAGGGACTGCAAGCAAAAGGGCACACACAGCTTGGAGAGTTGTTGTGCCAAATACTTCTCAGGCCATGTTTTGGTTCTCCGGCAGCGTTCGAGACATGACTTTTCAGAAGTATTCCAGAAACCCTAAACCCTAGAGCCTGCAACCACGAGCCCCTGAAGCGGTTTAACCTTGGCGCCAAATCTCTAAACTCAAAAACCTGACAAGCTGAAGCTTGCGGCCTCCCGATGATCGTTTGTCCACTCTGCCACTTGGATCCCTCAAGACTGATTTCCCTCTGCTACAGGAGCCCGT